GGTGGAATGTGATAAGGCTTATTCAAATTTTTCATAAGAAAGTCCCCAAAATTTTGGGACTGGGGTTGTAGTTCTGTAGCAGAGAATCTGTTTGTCATATATAAGGCCCTGGGTTTAATCTCTGGCACTGCAAAAATAAATAAATAAAAAGTTGTCTAAGATTTTAATGCCTGTTTCTTGGAAATAATGATTGACTATATTAATCTGCCAAATTCCAGGTTGAGTAAAGTAAAATTATTATTGTCATTATTTTTGAGACAGTGTCTCCCTGTGTATCTTTGGGTCGTCTAGAATTTGCTATGCAGACCAGTTGGTCTAGAACATATAGAGATCTGTGATAATATATTATTTGTGATTTAATAAAGTTTGCCTGGGGATCAGAAAGCAAAGCCACCCACACTAGTTAGCCATAGAAGCTGGGCAGTGGTGGCACACACTATGCTCAAGCTACTCCCAGTGATACAGTTGACTTCCTGTCGCCCTCAAGATGTAGGACTCTCAACTTCTTCAGCACCATGTCTGCCTGCAAGCCACTATGCTCCCTGCCATGATGATAATGGACTGAACCTTTGAAACTATAAGCCATCATCTCAATTAAATTTTTTCTTTTGTAAGAGTTGCTGTGATCATGGTGTCTCTTCACAGCAATAAAAACCCTAAGACAAATATGTAATACTAAAATACGTAATTTTAGCAATTACAGTAACATATTAATGTATACAAGGGCTAAATATTAATATTTGTCCTTATGGACTGTACTTTGCAGAGTGCCCACCTAAAAGTCAAGCTGAATTCAAACTGCTAGCAGATGATTCAGCTTTAGAATGGCAGGGTCCCAGTTGGGACTGGTGGTGCACTTGTAATCCCAGCACTAGAGATGCCAAGGCAGAAAGGTTGTGAGTTCTAGACCAGCTTAAACAAAACAAAATAGAAAAATAGAATATATGCATCGTGAGAGCAGTTGGGGAGTTATTTCAGGAGAAGAAAGAGATGATAGAGAGATTCCCTAAGCAGGTAAAAGTGTTTGTCTGGCAAGAACCCACATACACAAGCCAGATTCAGTGACCCACTTACACCTGTACTTTTGGCACTCCTACTTAGAGATGGGAGGGGAAGATAGAAAGAATCATCCAGAAGCTCTAGTGGCACCTGCTCCTTACCCCCATAACAACAACATTAACAAAAGATGCTAGTCTCTCAAACATCTTCCTCTCTACCCATCCCTTTGCTTTCCCATAAGTCTATATTAGACCAGCTACTCTGTAGTCATTGTTATGTCTCCTAGTATCTCTTTCCAAAGACAAAAATAAATTTAAACAAGAAGAAAATTGTATTGAACTAGTAACCCCTGGTTGTCAAAAGACAAAAATTACAACAAATGTAGTTTAAAAACCAAGTTGACTTTTTAATTTGTGATTCTAGAATCAGAATCTGCTGAATAGGGCAGATAATACTTTTATAAGTCAAAAATGAAGGGGTGGCTGAAGATCGTAAACCCAACACAAAAACAAATAGGCTGTCAAAAACCACACTTTTAGGTTTGTTTTTATTTAATGTGTATGAGTGTTTCAAGGGCATGTATCTGCATCACTTATTTGTCCACGGAGGCCAGAAGAGGGCGTTCATCCTCTGGAACTGGAATGACAGTAGGTTGTGGGTTACTAGCTCTGTAAAAGAAACAAATGCCCCTAACCACTGAGCCATCTCTCCAGCCTTCAAATAGCTGTTTTAAAGTTCTTGTGTTATAAAGGTTAAAGCTATAATAGCTAATAAAGCTATTATTCTGCCATGTAAAACTGGCTTGCTTAGGGATTTGGCCATAATCTGTCATCTGACTTATTGGAAGGATAACTTTCTTCTCCATGACCTGGGATTTCAACATGAGCTTTTTCTCTGACCTGCTGGACTAATCCACAAACTCCGTCCAAACCAATGACCTCTTTTAATTTCTCATTAACAAATTCATGGTCCTGTTAAAATTCAGAAGAAAACCTACGTAATACACAGACCTTTTGCACTTTCCAAAGACAACACACAAGACACTATCTTTAATTTTTTTGAGGCGTGGTCTCACTATGTAGCTCTGGTGTCAACTGTAAACAGGGTCCTATCAGTGTTCTTGATGGCAAGGAATTTGCTTCTGGCAATGTGTTATTTTAGACCGAAGTTATTGGTTACTAAGCACAGCTATAAGACCCCGGGATCTTTTTGCTGCCATCCACGTCTCTGTACTCATGAGCGGCACAGCTGTCCGGAGTGGTTCTTCGAGTGGGATTAGGAAACACTACCGTTCTAGAGAGAAGCCAGTTATTTTTCTGGCAAAGGAAAAGTTCACATCTATCGAAGTGTTTGTTTACAAAATGTTCACAACATAAACAAAGATTAGAAGAAAACTTCCAAGGGACGAGGGCATAGAAACCAACCCTGGAAACGGCCTTCCCAGCTTCACGGTCCATTTTGGGTTGGCGTCAAACTTTGTAGCGGTCTAGGAAATTACGGTGAGCTCTGGGATTTGGACAGAGAGCTGTGCCTTCAGTTGCTATCCAGTGAGTTCCGCGTAACGCACACAAAAATACACTTTTCAAAGGCCGTCCTAGAATTCCAGCCGAGATAGGAACATCAGCAATAGCGCCCGGACAAAGTCTGCAGGACATGAAACCAAAACATCCTGTTTTTAAAACAATCGAAACTGAAAGTATCGCGGGTGATTGAGCGCTGCTGTTCGCAGGGACTAGGTTTGTGCTTTCGCGTTGGGGTTC